TCCTTATTTTACATGTAGAAAACAATTTGACAAGAAAAATAATGCACCTTTATAAATATCGCTACTCACATCCACTTTTGATATTATCCTTTTTCTTTAACTTTGTTGCCTTATTATCATTATTACTTTTAGTGTTTTTATTATGTAGTTTAAATTATATAAAATAAAAAATTTTAATCCTTAAATGAAGAGAAAAGTTCAATATAAGAGGATATCTTCTAATTTAAAAATAATTGTTATACAATCTAATATAAACTTAACTATAAAAACAATTTAATATTATTTTTATGTTTTTTTTCTCCTTTTTTTACTGGTTGAAAAGATTTTTGAACAAGTCAATTTACCATTGAACCAAAGAGATTAATAGAGTTGTATTTAATTATTTAGAAGTCTTCATTTATATTTAAAATTAAAGGTTTAAATCATTACAATATTAAACAGTTAATTTTTTGAATGCGTTAAAAAAAGATAAATGTTTTTTTTATTACAGATAATTTTTTTAATATAGTTTAGGTATTAAAATTATCAAAATATTAATAATAAATAAATGTGCAAAGTAATTTTATTAAAAATGTTTTAATAATTTTAATATTTAAATTATAAAAAAATACAATTCATATTAAAAAGCACATTTTCTTTACAAAAAATAAATCTAAAGTAAAAAAATGAAAAATACATGAAAATATTCATTAACAACATCTTTATTTTAAAAAGTTAAAGTGCAATCTATCCTAAATAACCCTCCATTAATGTTTAAACTTTTTTTTTTTTTTTTGTATGATGTAAGGTAAAATTTCTTGACCAGGGTATAATTGCAGAGAACATGTGGCCCCAAGTTTTATTCTTTTTATAATTGTGGATGAAGAAATTCGAAGCTCCAATACAGCAGTAGAACAAACTAAAGACTTACCAAATACTTTTATTTTTATGAACCTACTTTTCTACAATGGGGCATATTCCCAATTCGGAGAGCGGATGTCCACCACCCGGTCTTGTTCTGAGCTCCAACGACTACTCAACCCCGGTGGTGGGTCCCGATGGGATGTGTCGGTCATCTCGATTAACTACATTTCTTTTTCCCCAACCCAAAGGTGAGGAAAAGGACAGTAATAAAGGTTAAAATCTTTTTTAAAATTGAAGTTAAATACTTTCTATAATTTAAAGTCTTTTTAAAAAGTTTAAATTATTAATCAAATTACATATATATATTATAATATAAATAAAAGATATAATTATTTAATAAAAGTTAAATTTTTTTTAATATATTATAATTATTTACAAGTTAATTAAAGATAAAAAAATTTTTTTTGTAGGTTTAAACGTGCAACTAATAAGAAGTGAACAACTCTAATATAATCTAAGATCAAATACAATTTGATCAAAGTGGAAAAAGATTTCCGTGATATTGAATATATAACCCATAAGAAGGGAACAACTGTAACTTAAAATTAAATGCTACTTAACCATAACAAAATTGTTCTATTCATAAGCGGGTAGATGAGTTGGCTGGAACTCTTCCAGCTTAATCAGAGGTCTTGAGTTCAAGCCCTGGGAATGCAGTTCCGTTAAAACTTATGGGGGAGAGCTTTACCGCCCATTGGGTCCTGCCTGACTCGAATCAAGATTAGTCGATGGCCCAATAGACTTTTGGATACCGGATGGTTATACCAAAAATTAAAAAATAAAAAATAATTGATTTTCATTATACAACTAATATAAAAAAAAAATATTTTGTCCCCTTTGGAAATTTGCTATTCAGCATTGCTTTCT